CATATCTTATTGATATATCAGTACTAAGGGTTACTGTGATACCTTCTCATTGTTTTATTTCTGTGTTTATACATGTGTTATTAGTCATATCTTATTGATATATCAGTACTAAGGGTTGCTGTGATACATTCTCAGTGTTTTATTTCTGTGTTTATGTGTGTTATTAGTTGTATCTTATTGATATATCAGTACTAAGGGTTATTGTGATACATGCTCAGTGTTATATTTCTGTGATTATATGTGTTATTAGTTGTATCTTATTGATATATCAGTACTAAGGGTTATTGTGATACATGCTCAGTGTTATATTGCTGTGTTTATATGTGTTATTAGTCGTATATAATTGATATGTCATTACTACAGGTTACTGTGACACCTGCTCAGTGTTATATTGCTGTGTTTATATATGTGTTATTAGTCATCTATATATATAATACACTTCCATTTGTCAGTCCAGAACTATTCTTACAAATTTTTCAATGAAACACTACAGATCTCATTTTTAGAAAGGCTTTTCAATTCAGTATCATTTTAGTTGTTTTTTTGCATAGTCAAACTTTTCAATGTAATGGGGATGGTGCACGATGGCACAATTTTGTTTTCATGGCTTTGATTTCAACTTTAGTTTCTTTTATTTGCAAAATATTTCACATCAACGGGCTATGGGCTTTCTAGATTATTTAGATCTAAAATATGCATGTGCAGTTTGTTCAAAACCATATGGTTATCATTATGTGAACATGCATTTGGACATTTCTGTATATTCAGCTAAGTTTGCCTTCATTACAACTTTACATTTACTTTACAATAATTTATCTTCAGTTCATTTCATAAACTGCTATAAACACCTTTTATATACTTTGTTCTTTAGTATGGGTTTTATTCTTCATTTATGAGAGTTTCTTTGTTTCAACTTGTAAAACTGTTTCATATTCTGTACACTATTGTATATACCAATACTTTATTGTTTACTTTACATGTAGATTTATTAAATATAGTTATGTGAAACTACTGCAAATTTCTTGCAGGTTGCAGCTAGTATCTTATTAATATATCAATACCGTAGGTTACTGTGATAGCTTCTCAGTGTTGTGCTTTATGTTAAGGTTAGTGTTGTCATATCTTGTTAATATATCAGTATTGAAGGTTAAATTGGTACCTTTCTCTGTGTTGTATTGTTGTGCTTTATGTTAAGGTTAGTGTTGTCATATCTTGTTAATATATCAATATTAAAGGTTACATTGGTACCTTTCTCTGTGTTGTATTGTTGTGCTTTATGTTAAGGTTAGTGTTGTCATATTTTGTTAATATATCAGTATTGAAGGTTAAATTGGTACCTTTCTCTGTGTTGTATTGTTGTGCTTTATGTTAAGGTTAGTGTTGTCATATCTTGTTAATATATCAGTATTAAAGGTTACATTGGTACCTTTCTCTGTGTTGTATTGTTGTGCTTTATGTTAAGATTAGTGTTGTCATATCTTGTTAATATATCAGTATTAAAGGTTACATTGGTACCTTTTTCTGTGTTGTATTGTTGTGCTTTATGTTAAGGTTATTGTTGTCATATCTTGTTAATATATCAGTATTAAAGGTTACATTGGTACTTTTCTCTGTGTTGTATTGTTGTGCTTTATGTTAAGGTTAGTGTTATATTTTGTTAATATATCAGTATTAAAGGTTACATTGGTACCTTTCTCCATGTTGTATTGTTGTGCTTTTATGTTAAGGTTAGTGTTGTCATATCTTGTTAATATATCAGTATTAAAGGTTAAATTGGTACCTTTCTCTGTGTTGTATTGTTGTGCTTTATGTTAAGGTTAGTGTTATATTTTGTTAATATATCAGTATTAAAGGTTACACCGGTACCTTTCTCTATGTTGTATTGTTGTGCTTCATGTAAAGGTTATTGTTGTCATATCTTGTTAATATATCAGTATTAAAGGTTACATTGGTACCTTTCTCCATGTTGTATTGTTGTGCTTTTATGTTAAGGTTAGTGTTGTCATATCTTGTTAATATATCAGTATTAAAGGTTAAATTGGTACCTTTCTCTGTGTTGTATTGCTGTGCTTTATGTTAAGGTTAGTGTTGTCATATCTTGTTAATATATCAGTATTAAAGGTTACATTGGTACCTTTCTCTGTGTTGTATTGCTGTGCTTTATGTTAAGGTTAGTGTTGTCATATCTTGTTAATATATCAGTATTAAAGGTTACATTGGTACCTTTCTCTGTGTTGTATTGTTGTGCTTTATGTTAAGGTTAGTGTTTTCATGTCTTCTTAATATATCAGTATTAAAGGTTAAATTGGTACCTTTCTCTGTATTGTATTGTTGTGCTTTATGTTAAGGTTAGTGTTGTCATATCTTGTTAATATATCACTATTAAAGGTTACATTGGTACCTTTCTCTGTGTTGTATTGTTGTGCTTTATGTTAAGATTAGTGTTGTCATATCTTGTTAATATATCAGTATTGAAGGTTAAATTGGTACCTTTCTCTGTGTTGTATTGCTCTGCTTTATGTTAAGGATTGTGTTGTCATATCTTGTTACCATTTCACTACTAAAGGTTATTCTGATACATTCTTATTGCCACATCTGTATTAATACAGTGTACTGTAGATGTTATACTATCTTTACTGTTTTAATATATTACATTTCATCTGATGGTTCCATTACATCTGTATTAATACAATGTACTGTAGATGCTGTTGTTGTACCTCTATCATGTTAATATATTATGTTTAACCTCATAATTCTTTCATATCTGTATTAATACAATTTACCGTATATGTTGTTGTCATATATATACTGTTTTATTCTGTTACATTTCATTTATCTTTGTTAGTAAAATGTACTGTAGACATTATTGTCAAATATTTATACATAATATTCCATTTGATAGTACTGTTGCATCTCTATTGGTATGTTCCGCTGTAGATGTTATTGTTGTTTTAATACTGGTATCTTTTCTTTTACTCTTATTTTACTAGATGTTACATGTACTTTTATATGGTTATATGTCACAGATAGGCTGAGTGATTAGTGAAA